AGCCGCGCCCGCTTCAGCTCTGCAGAGGGCGACCCTCCCCCTTCGCGCCCCCACGGGCTCTCGGGTGAAGGTGCGAGGGGCCACGCGCCTCTGCTTTCCGCCTCGTTTCTTTAGGACGAGTAGAAAGAGTATTAACGAGTGCCAAGTTATTCCAGTCAGTCAGCGTCTCCGGGCTTGCGAGGCTGGACGCTCTGCAAGCGCTTGTTCCAGGACACACACGTTCGGCTAATCCTGAGGCGCAGCGCTGGGGAAGCCACAAATATTTGTTTCTTGGAGCAAACAATTGTGGAAAACCAAAACTAGCTTGTGCAGAGGAATTCGTTAGCTTGAGTTAATTGGCAGTCCCGTCATTAACATGAGGTTTAAAGGGCCAGCAGAGATGTACTCACCCATCAGAAGCTGCAGAAAGCTTGAAGCCTTCAAAATTGTATTTTGCATGACTGAAAAGTGCTCGCAGACGAGGAAAAGGCAGAGCAAGGCTGAGCCCAGGCGCACAGGAGGAGCGAACAGAGAGGCTACGTTAGAGCAAGGATCTCAGCAGAACTAGAAATCATTTTTGCCTTCAGAAACTGGGAATGCTGCTAGCATCCGTAAGCCAGGAAAGACTCAGCGCTGCGACTGTTCAGACTGCTCCACCGAGGTCAGGGCTGCTCTGGTCCCACCCTCCCCTGACACCACGTCTTCCCACGTCCTTGGTGCTCCGACCCCAGGCCAAGCCAGCCGAGGAAGCTAAACCAACAGAAAACTCAAGTCCAACTAGACCTACGCTGTTGCTCTGTTTTGTTTAGCACCCAGGGCTCCAGATAGGGCAGATTCACAGCCAGCCAACACCATCACACCAGCCTGGACTCCAGATTCACAGCCAGCCAACACCATCACACCAGCCTGGACTCCAGATTCACAGCCAGCCAACACCATCACACCAGCCTGGACTCTTCCCAGGAGGTGCTACAAGCCCCTCAGCCTCATCCTGGAGCAGAGGATGGGTGAGGATGACGTGTCTAAAGAGAACAGAAAAGGAATCATGTTAATCTTCCCTCCCAAACTGGAGAAGTAGCTGGGTGAGGACACTTCCTCATTAGCCTTTCTAGTAGCTGAATTACCCCTGTTGAGAGAGGTTAACTAACAGAAAAAAGCATTAACAGAAGAAAAAAACGCCTTTTCTTCAACAACTCTGTCACCATGTCTGTGTCACCAGATCTGAGCAACCAGGAGGATGACGAGAAAGGACAGGAGGAACCCCAGTGTGATCAGACTGGACGATAACTCACAAACCACGACCGAAAAGTTTGTTTTCCCGCACGCCCCTGCAGACCTCTCTACGGGACTTACCCACAATCTGCCTGCCTTCTGTCCCCACGTCCACTGAGCTGAGCCCTGACTTTGCGGAAACCTCTTCTCAGCTCTGCCTTTGACGTTTCACCGAGCATTTTGCAGGACTGTCATGGGCACACGTGTGCGCGCACCTCCCTACCTTCTGGAGGGGCAGGACTGCACCTATCGGCTCCCGACAACGCAGGACCGCAGTTGCACCCCGACCGAGAGCCAACGTGTGGGGGGAGATGGGGCACCCTCCTGCCGGCCTTAGCCAGCCAAGGGGCTCTGACAGCAGGTGGTAAACGATCCCTGTGCGGAGCCTGGAGGTCGTTATCTCCTTGCTGTAGCCAGGCTGATTTTTTACTGGACCTAGGCTCCCATTTTAGGGAAAGGGAAGGATCGTTCACTGGATGCGTTTCAGAGACCGTCCTGTCAAGGTGTGATCTCTGTCGGTAGCTGAGCAGTTAGCAGTCCCCAGATGCCCCAGGACCCAGGCAGTAATCCCAACAAAGCTGCAGGCATCTTTCATACTTTGCTGTCTCAGCCTCAAGTTTTAGCTTTTTAATTTCCTGTGGCCGTGGAGCAATGTCAGAGGGTCTCACAGGGACTGTGTTTCCCACAAGTCATGGATTGGGTTGGCGGAGGGGACACATCGAGTTAAAATTAATCTCAATGCAGGAAAGCTACTTTCAAGAGGAAAGGTTGTTTCATGATGGATTATCCAAATACTTAAAGCCACAATCAGCCTTCAAGCAAAAAAAACAAACATTCCAGGGAAATATTTAACCTGGTGGCTGCTAGCCATGAGCTGAACCTCACAGCAAACAGGGAAACGTTATTAGTTTGCAAGAGAGGCGCCATCCCACATTGGGGTGCAACCCTGCAGGCTAACGGGGAGCAGGCACCAGCCAGGGCACATCTACAAAACCTGCCCAGAAGAGAAGCCTGCACACGGGAGGAAGCGGTATTTCAGGCAGCTGTTCAAGCCCATGATGTAATGTAATGGAGCAGCATGACTACAGAGATGCCATCACCTGGAAAAGACCCAAAACCTGCAGTCTGGCTACTTTTGTTCAGAGCGGAGCCAACGATGCTCTTCGCAAGAAAGAGCGTATTAGGCGAAGTTTCCTGGCCAAAACCCAGAATCTGTCATTACGTTCTTGCTATATAGGTTTCCCATGAAGTTCCAGCTTGGCCAAGGAGACTGTGCTCTGCTGCAGAGCCCTCCACCCAGGGAGCTGCGTCCCCTCCCCATCTCCCGCGGCATCCGTGCACTCACCAAGCAACAGCCGCCTCGGCACCCACGCGCAGAAGATAGTTGAAGAGACACATTTGCCTGGATGGCTTAGATTCGGAAGGGAAGCCAGTGGCTTCTCAGTATACTTTGCACAGGCCACGGTTCCCTCGCCCCGCTCTGCAGAGAGCGGCTAGTTTGGTACAGAGGTGAGGAGACGTTGCTGGAGATGGGGAGGAGGTGGAGTTCCGCAGGGGTTCACCACAGGTTTGGGACGCGGTTCAAAAACGCTGGGAATTCTGTCAAAAACAGAAGTAGCGCAACTACAATGAAAGAAGTATCTGGCGCCTGCATGGCAAAGCAAACCCCGGGAGAACGGCGTTGCTTTCCAAGCACAGAAGTGCAGGTACCAGCCAGCACAGGGGAGCAGCCAGCAGCAGCTTAACAAAACAGCTAAAGCGGGACTAGAGGAAAGGATATCACATCAGCGCCCAGGGTGAAACTCTGGCTTCGGTAGCAGGATGGCAGAACTCTCCGCGGCTTCAGCGGAGCCAGGATTTCACCTGCAACTGTCTTTAAAGCCAACATTTACCGGGAAAAAAAATGGAAGCAATTTATTCACCGCTATTTTTATTGCATTGTTACTGGCGCTGCACAGCAGTACTCGCAAACGGCACTCGCAGGTCTTTGCAATGCTCCAAAAGTTAACAAGAAGTTGTGTGGCTAAACTAGGACTAAGCTAGAAACTATGCTGAGCTGCACAGCTTCCAAAGTAAGGCTCCTCTTCTCTGTTTTGCCTCTTCACTACTCAGAGCCTCAAAACACCACAGTTGCACAGTGCTATACCATAACTAGACAACGTAGCTCAGAGCTATATTAGTCGGCGGGGATTTTTTTTCCCTCAGAGTATGTAAATAAATATCAATATTCTAAACCAAAGACCTCCCAAGAACTAAATATTATTTATCGTAAATTTATCTTAAAACTAAACAGCTTTGTCACATATGTATAATAACAAAGAAACAAATTACAAAGGAGGAATTTGATTTTATTGGTTTTATTCAAAGCGTTTGCATTATACATCAATTTCTAACAGAGTTTTCACAGTTCATTAGAGACGCTGTCAAAAGCTCAGGCAAAGCTTTGTCCAAGTCCCCATGAGTAACAGAAGATATCGCAGCCTGGTTGGTTGTTTTAGCTTTATTCATTCCTTGCAACAGTGACCATTTTCAACCCACAGCAGGGAAATTCGCTGCGTCAGTGGGGAAAAAGCACTTTTAAGGGAAGAGCATCTGAACATAAAGCCTGAATTGGGTCTCTTTTACACTTTAATTTGGCAACTTAGGTACAGTTACTGGCAATAAACACCAACATCTTTCATATTCATTCCTGTTACCAATTAGTGCATGACAGGACACTTGCTAAGGATTAACAACAAATTATCTTTCTTATTTCATCAACATGAATATTTGCTTGTCAGCTATTGGCATTTTGCATCCCAAATATTTGAGAGACCACACACCTAACACACACACACCAGATACAGATTTTGGCAAAGCTTCACAAGTCACTGTATATCTCATTTCTCAGTAGTTTGTAACTGTGCCTTTGGTGTCATTCTAACTATGCATTTAGGCATTTATAAAGTGTCAATCTTCCGGAAACTACGCACCAGCAATTGCTCGCGAGGCATGACTGTGCATGCTGCGGACAGCTAGCAAAGGGGTTGCAGAGAGAGAGGCCCACCTCTGCAGTCCTCAAGCAGGCTGGATTCTCGCTGCTGGCAGAGGAAACGTGCCTCGGTGAGGATCACAGGATGACAACAAAGACTTTGAAACCACAGAAGAAATTATTTTAAAACTCATTGTTGGGATCTGCAGGTCTTGGAACAACATTTGCAATGAATGATTGTAATTACAAAAAAGAGCGTCCACAGCTTCAGCCCAGCCCAGCCGGAGAATCCCGCTAATGCTGGTTTCTTCACTGCCAGCAGCTCTTGCCAGTGTCACAGGAGCCTGGGGAAGCTACCCTGACCTCTCTTACGGGGATGAGAACGGTACGACAGAAATAACGGCTTGATCTTGCACTGAGCACTCTGACGGACCCAGCAAAGCATATGCTTCATTTAATTACGTGAGCATCAGGAGCTCCCCGGGATTCTTGCATATATGCTGGATCAGAATTACAATTTCCAGCAGCTGTAGGATCCAGCCCTACGCCTCGTCAGAAAGGAAACAATTCTCAAGCACACAGTAGCACTTTCACCTGATTGAGATGCTAGGCCATGGACACCAAAAGGACAGATGGGTTCCAAAGGCCATTAGACAAACACACCGAAGAAACATCTCCTGGAAGTTAACTAAACACGAGGCTGTAGCTGAGCTGCAGACTGCAGGATCTGCCGACTACTTCAAGGAAGCATCAAGCCGCAGACTGCTTGCCTTGTTCTTAGCATCTTCCCTAAGCGCTTGCTACCAGCCATCAGAGACAGGATGGCAACGACTTAGTACGGCTGCTGTTCTGTCTTTGAAGTACAGAGACGTACAAACCTAGGAAACGGCTAGGCACGAGGGCACACTCACGTGGCAGCTGCCTTTGCGCTCTCCTCCCGAGGGGGCTGCAGGGTCCGTTACCCACCTGGACTCCTGCGGGCTCGGGGAGCGCTTACAGCTCTGGATGGGGTCCAGTCTTCATTCCAGCTTTTTGTTCTGTGGACAGCGAAGCATGCTCCCGGGTTTGGCTTCGAATATTAAAAATCACTATTTTCATTTCTAGAAAAGGATTGTTCAAAATGAATTTTTTGCTGTTTTAGCTGCCGTATCCTCATGTGAAGCCAGCAACGACAAAGGATAAGCCCAGGCTTATTTAGAGGGGGGTCTCTCAGACTGAGGTAATATTAAAGGCAGACAAGGCTAAGCCATTCTTTTTTTTTAAACAAAGTATCTTGTCCTCTGAGGGACTTTGCCTAAATCGGTTACAATAAACGAATGATTCTATTTAAACACAAAATATTGGTAGCAACGATATTAAAACATTTCACATCTGTATTACACTGAAGCAGCAGCTTTGTCAATAAACTGGGCCAGCTTCACATCTCTTTTGGTCAGTCCACCACAGTCATGAGAAATAAGAGTTATCTGAACCTGTTAAAAAAAGAAAAGAAATGGATAAGAACAGCCATCCTCATCTTTGCCACACAGGCTGATGTAAAATGCGGCATGTCTCTCAAGGGGAGGGCTCTGTAGTGAGCTGGTTTTACAAAAAGCTCTCGGCAAACAGCGAATTGGAGCCTCACTGCTCATGTAAATAGAAAATACTGTAGGTGAGCAGGCTTAACAGAACCCGCAGACGAGAACCCCTTTGCGGAACGAAACAGGCTTTGCGTTCTTGGATTTCATCCAGAAAGAAGTGTCCGACTTAAATAACTCATTCTTTACATTTACCTTGCACATATCAGTTTCACAAAGAATTTGGGCCAACGACTAAATTGTACACAGCAAATTCAGCGGCCCAAGTGTTTTGTTAAAAAGCAGTACCCCAGAGGTGAAAAAATTGCTGAGCTTGTTGCAGATTCATTTCAAAAAGAAAAACACACAGACTGGCACGTTTTGTTCCGAAGCAGCGGCGTGCATCAGTTTGTTTAGACCAACAAAGACGACAAGTTGGGCACTACTTTGTCAAATGTTTGACAGAGATTTGGGGAAAAGGAATGAGAAAGAAAGAGGGAATTCTAAGTCTTCTGGAAAGTAAGGAAAGTCATCAAGAGTAGACACTTAGGCCTTTGCCCAGTCATCACTTAACAAGCCCTGAAATGCGGTGAGTGAAAGGGCTGGTGAGAACAGGTCTGTGTTAGGGAGCTGCAGATACGGCTGGGACACGAACACACGTCCTGCTCTGTCATCCTGGCTTTGGAGGTGGGGGTTCCCAGCAGCAGGAGGGGCAGGCTGCGGCAGGCAACGCTTCTTAAACTGCCACAACACAGCTTGTCTGTCAGAGTCTTAAGCCCGCCATACAGGCTTTGTTGTTTGAAGCTTCCTTAATTGGACCACTCTTATGTCAATTAATCCCATCTTTAAGATCATGCCTACCATTCTGCATCTGCCACAAAACAAACTATGCTGGACAGGCACAACCACGTCATTTGTTCTTTAGTATATTTTTAGTGGGACTGGTATATATTATGCCAAACGCTAAAAGAAATAATTCAGTACAATGCAATGAGAAGCGTAAGAAAATAAAAATAAAGGGAGAGCAATAACTCCCCCATATGCACCCTCATATAGCACCTTTCATTCAAGGGTTGCAGTATACCTTGTAACCCTTGTAAATATGAGACCACCATCAGTTCAGTAATATTATAAACAAATTTTATAAGCTGCTATGTTGAGGCACAGGGGCCCACATTTAAAAAAAAAATCAAGTCTAAATTTAGAATTCCAGGCTCTCATTTAGGTACCTACACATCAGTCCAATCTCCTACACCTCCGGGTTCCTAACTTGTTGCACAGAAAGGAATGAGTGAGTGTTTAGTAGTTTCAAAATAGTCATTTATTCAGGTTAAACAAAGAAGGGTTTAAAGAGTTCTATTTTATTTTTAAACCTTGGCCAGAAAGGTTAAGTGATAGGTCCAAACCATGCAGCTGGCAGCAAATAATTGCAGAGAAGAACTTGATTCCTGGTGCCATCTCACCACTGCAAATTTTAGTACTTTGTGGAACATATATATTTTACTCATTGGAAGAACACAGAGTTGGAGCACTCTGGTAGAAAGTCTAACAAAGTTGTGAGAAAGTTCTTAGAAACAGGGAGGAAATAGCTGGAGAGAGGTATGCTGAACAAAAGAAAACTAATACACCAATCCATTCTGTCTACGAGGAGAACGGGGCTATCTTTGCAAAGGTGTTTTGGGGGTTTTTGTTTTGCTTTTAAGAGACACCACCTCTTTACATTTCTCTATTTCTTCCATTGTATATAAGCTAAAAAAAGAAAGGCACAGACAACGTGCCACTCTGACAATGTTTTGGTCTATTTAATTTGCAGTGACTGTAGCTAAAGCTAGCGAACACATTACCTTGCTGTAGACATTAAACCATTCTGGGTGGTGATTCATCTTCTCTGCTTGTAGAGCAACTCGTGTCATAAATCCAAAAGCCTAGGAGATAAAGAGCAAAGGCAAAAATACTCATCCATCTGTTAGGACAACTGACTAATGTTACTCTGGCATTGGATCTGCAAGATTCACTCCAAAATCTCAGAAACTCCTAGAGATGCTCCAGAATACTGGGCCCCATTTTTGTGCGTGCACCAACGGAGCACTTCATCTTCTCGTGCCACCAAAGCATTTCCTGACACCACAGAAATCATCCTCTTCAGATCCTGGTAAGCCATTCTGTTAAATGTTTCTTACTCAGGGATTCAAAGTCACTGCATGGGAGCAATGATTTTACCTTTGGCATCCAACAGGTATTTTAAACATCCATCTCAATGCTTCTCATCCCCTGCGCCCTTGCTAACCTGTCATTTCTAATTAAGCATCATGTCATAGTGTTCTTATTAGACAGATACCAGAAATATATCCTTTCAGGCAATTACTTTGCTATTTATTTTACTGGGGGGAGAAAGGCAGCAGGTGGGCTTACCTCTCTGCTTTATGACAACATATTTTACCTTAAATGGTTAAAATAGATTTCCCAAACCTCTGCCCTTATATTCTGCACTGCACATTTCCCCAGGATGCAGTTTTTTTTCACAGGCTCAAGAAGAAAATAATAGGAGGTTCTCGGCAAACGCTTAGAGTAAATCACTACACTACAAAGAAAATTAGAACATCCATGCAAATCAAGAATGCAATTACACAATGGGGCCCAAAGAGCCTCAGTGCATGAGCAGAACACCTTTAAGTCAATGGGCTTTGCTCATACTGTGCTCCAACCATCAGGGTTCGGGACCTAAATTAACACGCAAAGCAAAAGGCACATCCATCTCCACGGTCTGGTTCATATTACTATACAACCTCAGCAAAAACCTACCTGATTTAGGTAGTTTTGTAGTGCTAATTTATTGAAAAGAATGTGTATAGCCCACAGTCCACCAAGTGATGGCCATTTCAAACAAACACGTGGTCAACGAATAACATATAATGGTTGATAATAGTTTCAGTCTTTTTTCCCCTCACAAATTACAAAAACCTTTAAGAAAAAAAGAATCAGTGCCTGGATGAAGTATGACTTTGTTAGTCGCTTTGCCAGTCAAATGAATGCAAACGTTATAATCAGAGAAAATCATTCCAATGAGGTTTGTCATTTGGAAATCACCAAACTGTCAGCAATTAAAAAGCTTTTTTCTTTGACCCAAGAGCATTCCAAAATTTGGGAAGTCTAACTTCCCTTGAAGCTCGTTTGGTTTAATTTTACTTGGAGTGAACAATTACGGTTAAAAAATTTCAAATGTTTCAACAACGTGCTTTGAAGCAGAATGCAGTACGTTGTGCATTAGACATTAGTAAAAAGTTGGAACACATACGCATTAATAGCTCTGAAACATATTTTATTTAAAGGCTTTTAAGAGTTCCCACTGGCTTAACTGGGGTGTTATTTCCAACATAGCAACTTATATACAGAACTGTCCCCAAAAGTTTGGAACAGTCAGCAACACATCTGCAATTGGATGGCTTTTGTAGAAACCGCAACAGAAAAACAAGATCAAATTTATGAAAAACCCTCCCAAGTTCATGCATGCACTACCAATGTCTATCGGTCAGAGTAACTCACCCACATATGTACACATGCAGCTTATATTACACATGCATGCTTAATTTATTGCATTGACATAATCGGTTGCTCTACCCTCAGACGGCAGGAAGACAGAGCAGACTACTCTGCAAACAAACTAGCCTGTGAGACTAGTCTGTTCTGGAGCTCTTCCTTCCCACTGTTTGACAACGAAGCCTCACCAGTTAGCACACCACCACGCTAATCTATTCTCTCATTCCCCCACAGTCAGTAAAAACGGACACTCATCTTAAAACTGTAACTGCTGCTGAAGAGCACTGAACATGGGGCTGTCCGTATCATGAAAAGGAATTTATTTCAGAACAGAGGACCCTCCCCAGGACAGGTTCTGCTGCTTGTTCCTCAGACTCCAACCTTGGAAACAAGGGCTGGAGTGCTCCAGCTGACTACAACTGCCCCAACCAGAGCAGTCCGACATTTATAGGAAAGGATGAAAGCATGCACATGTGATACATACATATTGCCCTGCTTTACGCGGAGCAATTCTTTCTCTTTGCAAATTACTCAAAGCAACTTACCTTTTGTATTTATTTTACTTATATATAGAAACTAGCAGTCTCCCACTAAGAAAATTAGCTACAGTTCTGCTGAGCAATTTCACTAGTGCAATCTCCATTAAGGTCCTAAATACTTCCTTTGCCAATTAAATGAATTAGAACGCTATTGTTTATGAATCACCTTTATATTTGTAGAGCCATAACCTTTCTTTTAGAAAATACAATTGGCTCTGGAAGGAAAAGATATTTAGGTTTGATTAGATATGAAAACACTATTATATAAAATCAGTTTGGACATTTCTTCACGTCTTGAAACTTGATCGGTAATTTGGTCTAATTGGTGATCAAGGAAACTATCTTGTGATCAATTAAAGTAATTACCACATTCCGGCAACACAACCAACCTTAATTTGAGTAGGAGTCTGCACTTCTTCAAGTTAAATTAAAAATAATGAAAATTATTAAACAGTCTGCAGTGCAAGATCATTGTCAAGACTGCATTGGTGGGTAGTGTTTATCAGACCATCACACATTTCTTGATGAAAGCGGGACAAGTATTTTACTTATGACAGTAAGATGCAACACAACCTCGACCTTAACTATATTAACAACAGAGTTCTATAGCCCCTTGGCTACTAAAGGGAACTTTTTCAGATCTTAACTTGAAAAACAGGGCAGAACGAAGAGATTCATGTGTTTCCCAGAAGCCATAAAGAAGTGTTCAAAGATACTTTGGTGCATTAAATACTGTGAAGTATTCTGATATTTCAGTAACGGGCATATTAAGTAAATATTTTCAACCTAACCCATCCGGTACATTTTGGTTATTCGGGCTAAAACAACATCCATACATGTAGGTCACTTTAAATAAGTTCATCACGCACCCAAGTCACAGAGGACAGCAGAAGCCCTAGTATCAAACTGGGCAACAGCAGTAGAAGTAGTGAGCAAAGCAATCCTGAACAGATAAGGAGATATTTTGGATGTGCTAGCAGGTCTTCCTCCTTCACGCCTTTTAAGACTATGAAAGAAGGAACTTCAGAACTGCTGGTGTTTTTGCAGTTGTACCACCACTTCTAAAATGGTTTTTAAATACTACCAGTCATAGCGTGCCTCCACAAGATACAAATAAGAACTACTCTTGGAAGAATAACTTATACTAAGAACGTGAAAAAACGGTTTTAAAAAAATTCAGCCGTCATATTTTGCTCAAATAGTGTTTTGGGACTGGCTAAACTGCTTTTTAAAGTGACAAAATATGCTACCAAAAATAAGGCTTAATGCAACTTGTGTTTCTTGAAAATGGGAAAAACAGAAGTGGGAGGAAGGATGAAATTCCATCCACCACTTCGCAGCATTTAACACCTTTGGGAGACTCGCAGGATCCCTGGGCAAACTGCTATTATTTTTCCTTTCACACTTCTTAAGCAAGGAATCAATTCATCTTGATACTTTTTAAACATGCTGCTTTTGTACAACGCTTGCCAACATTATCTTGATGAGTTACACATCAAAGCAACACAGGTCGATATGTCATGCTAATATATCACCGAGCAGCGAGTCCCCAGTGATAGATTACCACAGTGCATCTCCAGAACAAAGCAGCTGACAATACTTTACTCAAAACATGGAGATGTTCAAGAAAAACAGCTGAGAGGCTCAACAATATAACCATACAAACTTTTTATTTGTTTGTTTTAAAACGTGTAAGTTTTGAAGACAGTACCCAGGCCTCTTCAGTCCGTCAGACACTCGGCCAAGGAAACCATATGCTAATCACAAGTACATTAAGGTTTCTGCCTCCCATCTGTCATTATAATGCTGGAGGCAGCATTAACCTTGACCTTCTGCAATGTAAGGGCTACCTGTCTTCCCTCCCACACCCATCAGTGCTACGTTTATATCGTTTATCGGTGGGAAATGCATAAATAACACAGGTTATAGTGCCATTGCCACATATGAGAATAGAGAACTATGTTTAGCACATTTGTTTTCCATTCACCCAAGTAAAAATTATCATTGCTCGCTGTATATAGCATGCGTCCGCTTGGTTCCTCAAGCGGTTTGAACACTTATCACAAAAATAAACTCAAATCGTTAAGGGTCAGAGCCAAGCTGTAGAAGCTTTCACACATCTAGCTTACATTACTACCTAACAGGGAGCTATGGGTCAGCAGATAAAGGGGAAAACTCTTTAATGCCAAGCTATATTAAAGTATGCTTTGTAAGTCCCTAGGGTTTAACTTAATCTCATGACATTTTCTGCTGTGCTCACAAGAAAAAAAAAATAGAGCATTTGTTTTTTCTTTTCAATTGTATGAACTCCATTAAAAAAAGAGTTCTGCCTTACAAAAATGCAAAATGTTCTTATAACTTCACACTATTAACTTGAAAGTGACAACGTGGTTAAAACACAAAAAAGAGGAATCCAATTAATATTTATAGAAAGGTGAGAGCAACAGACAAGGACAGGTATTCATTCTTAAAATTATGTGGCCATTTTAGGATTCTCCTCTGTTGGTGTCATCGGTCTATCTGAATATTCTCCAGGGAAATTGAATCCATGTGGCGTTAGGCATTGGGTCCCCCCTCCCTTTTTTTTGGCCCTGTCTGGATTTATATATGACATAAAACAGGAGAAAGCTTTACTGTTGCTCTTCCCCCTTTTAATATCATTCCAAGAATACTAGGACAATCCTCCTTAAGAATGCAACTAAATCATGCCCTAACAACTCCCGATCATCCAACCCCCTTCTGTGACCTTCCTCTGCTGCAGACTGTCTTGAGGAACCCTACCTCTGTCCCTCGCCTGCCTTGCCTGGAGCTTAGGGTAACTCGCGGTCCGACAGAACCGGGTCCCCTAT